ACAAGGGAAACTTGATTCAAAATGTGACCAAGGTTTCTTTGTAGGTTATGATAAGAACAGTCCCGCCTACTTAGTTTACCACCCCGAAATTGAGAAAGTTCAGAAACATAGACTTGTTAAGTTTGTGAGCAAAGTAAATGTAGAAAGACAAACACAGACAGATGAGGGAGAACTAAATGATGACTGTAGCAGAGTAAGACAGCCTATGGCTAACAGACCTTCAGAGAAAGGTGACAAGGACAATGAGGTTCCAGAACCTATTGTGACAGACAAAAGTCCACAAAGTGGTATACCTGATGAGCGTGAACGAAAAGAGACAAGTGTGACAAGTGATGGATTTGTCAACAAAAGGTATCCTCTAGGGAGAGAAGAAAACCGGGACATTTAAATGACTTTGTAGCTGCCAACAGTGGCTGCGATGAGATCCACACCACCATAGACTACTGCTACAGGGCAGTGTGTGGTGTCCCAAACACATTTGAGGAAGCCATAGAATCAGCTAACTCAAACAACTGGATCAAAGCCATGGATGAAGAAATCCACTCGTTACGGGAAAATGACACTTTCACCTTAACCACTTTGCCAACGCGCTTTGACCCCTCGATGGCAAATCATAACAATGTTTTCTTGCACCCCATTTCAACCACCACTGTTTGGGCCAACAACCCACCTTCATGCCAAACGGACATCCAAAACCCCTACTCTTTGTCGGCCTCCCCTAAACAGGGCAAATTGTGCGATGAAATCCACCTTAGCTGGTGTCTTACTCGTGGAATTGCGAGGAGTGGGTTTTTCTGTTAGAGTGACATTGGAAGGGGAAGAAGAACAGATACAAGGAAAGTTCGTAGCCCCAAGACTAGGTTACAGCCAAACCAGTTGGGGATAACTAGTATTTTATGGAGACATTATACTAGAGGTCACAAAACCTTTCGCCATCTCTATAATGGAATTGCTGTTAAATTGCAGGCCACTAATTCACCTGCAATCACCTCCCCGTAGCGGCCGCTGAGAAAAACTGTTACTAACAATTGCGCACTTTCATCACATGGCCAATGTGTTTTGAGTAACATCAGATACATTCTTACACCCGCCCCTCGTCACCATTTATTGTAGTCGAAAATGTGTGACCTTGTTGATCAATGTAAGATTTATGGATCAAAGAGGTAGATGGAAGTCAGGGCTAGATTGTGAGATAAGTTTTGTAAACAAAAATCCTATGATAGTTGGGTTTTAAAAACCAATATTCCTAGGTCAGTAGAACCAATGGAAAACTATGGAACTTTCGCGCCATTATACCCTAACCACCTCCCAGGCCCGACTTAGTACCAAGTCTTTCAAGTTGCGAGCTCCTGGAAACTGAGGATTTCCCAAGCCAAGAATAGATTCATTGTTATTGCAAAATGTAACTGCGAAAATCAAAAGCAATGAATATTACAAAAAAGAAGTCGACTGTGAATTGTATGTCATTGGATGAGTTTGAGACCCGAAAAGTGCGCAGTTTCTGCTCATCAAAATTAAACATCTTCCTGCTAGGAACTGTCGAACAGGGTAAAATGAAAGGTGACAGAATTCAGCCCACCGTTTTAGAAAGAAAAGTGACCGTTTTATTCCATGTTCTTCCAACTAAATGTTTTAAGGATGAAAGAACCCTTGGCCCCAGACTGAAGCAAATGTGTTCCCCTGGATTTTTGGATTTCTATTTCCAGTGCCCTGAATTTCGAAACCCTGCACAAAAAAAATATCAAAAACTTATGTGACAAAGTAACTGTGAAGGTTTATAGAAAAATTGAGCTCCAGAAGAACCTTTTTCCAGCCATTACCAAGCAGTGTAAAATAGTGACAGAGAAAAAGAATATGTGTGATATATAAGAGTTGCTACCAAAAAGGATGTGCCGACTTAGTAATAAATAAAAACGCCGTATTTTAACTGTGAACGTTGTAAATCCATATTAGTAAACATTTAACAAAAATTACACTGCATAATATTACTGCCAGTGCATTTTCTATCAGATAATTAACAGATAAAGTCACCCTGTTCACCTAAAATAACAATGATTGTCTAAAAAAGAATGTAATTACCTTTAACAGCTTGAGGTTCTTCTTGAATCTCATTCTTGGTCCAGCTTTTGTGATCAAATTCTCAATTTCTCGATCATCAAGCTCAACAAATATTTTCTTCATCAATTTCTTGATCTGTAATTAAAAATAAAGTTGCAGAGATAAAGATTATTCTCAACTTACTTCACAGATCACATCAGAATCAATAT